GTCGGTATTATCCAATTGAACGGGGTCGAGGTCTTCTATGGTTGCCTTGCAGACTTCTACGACATCCGAGTCTTTGATGGTTTCTATTTGTATATCTGGTTTGGTTCCCGATATGGCTGATTGCTATGCTTCCGCACTTGCCCCCTTTAGTTGTTGAGTGTGTGTGCAATCTTGGGTGATTCGGTAGCACTCTTGGGCGGTGCGTTGCTCGCCTTGGATGCTGAATATTCCCATAGGGTAGGAAATTTGATTACTTGATAGAAACTTAACTGGACAACTCGCATGGCATGTATTCATGGATGCCCTATAATGGCGTTGTAGGTTGTTTCCTGGTTCATGACATGAAACGTCGTTTCTAGAGTGACTCCTCCTGCCAGAACGGGTAACACTATCTCTCTAGAGGTTCGTTCCACTGCATTATTAAAACTCGGTAGTGTTATGCAGCGTGGTACTATCTTGTCCTCGAGTCTCATCTGTACGAAGACTCGTGGATGAATAATACACGCGCCGCTTTCGTCATCTACCATTATTCTTTTTACGTCGGTATCTACAATACGTAAAGTTATAACTAAAGCATCATAGTGAGGGAAAGACAAACCGTTGGTATCTGACTTATCGAAGACGATACTATCTTCGAGGTCATCGTACCGTTCGTGAGCGACTGTCCGCTTGAGTTTGCGTGTGGTGGTGAATTTCACATGGTTGATTACTGTATCATCGCCGCCTCCAATGATCATTTGTATGGTACGAGCTGGTGAAGGTGGTTGTGGTGGTCCTTGAGGTTGATCGCGTCCATGAGCGAAGTTAATTCGTCCTCGATCGCTCAACAGTTCTTTCAAGAATCCCTGATTTAGAATTCTTACCACTTCTTGTCGCAGACCTATGCAGTCTTCGGTCTTGTGTCCTCTTTCCTGGTGGAATTCACACAGAACGTTCGATCTCCAGGTGCTCAGATCTGACTTCATCTTTTGCGGCCACAACACCTTTGTGCCGAGTTTTTCTAGTACATACACTATTTCGGAAGGAGAAACATAAAAAATATGAGTAGATAACAGTGGAAGCATACCTCTTTCGTTGCGATGTGGCGCGGTGTGTCGAGGAGTGGCATATGCATGTCATGGAGGTGGTGGGATGGATGTCCGGATATAGGGCTGATGCATTTCTCTATTGAAATGGGATAGTTGGTCCCTTCGACCATCGTTGCGACGATCTCTCCTTGTTTCGATTTGGACCGATGTTAGCCGTTGGATCAGACCATTTAGGTCATCCTCGTCTGCCCTTACTTTGGCACAATAGGCATTATGTATTTCTTCCCACATGGTGGGAAGGTACTTCATGAGTCTACTTAGCAGCCTCTTGATTGCATTTGACCCGTTTCTGTTTAACCCATTTTGGAAGGTTGCTACCGCCATCCCTTCTGATACGTTTGGTAGGCTCATTCTTACCGTGTTGAATCGGGCTAGGAAATCCCGAAGTCCTTTGCCTGACGGCGAAGATGTCATTTACCCTGGCCTCTGCTTTTTTCGCTCTCGCGTGAGCGGTGACGAATTTATCTGCCATTTTTTTTTGAATGTTGATATTGATCGTGCTGGTAGTTCGGAATACCACGTCAATGCTCCCCCTGTCAGAGTTTCACCAAACTTTTTCAGCAGCACCGATGGCACCTGTTCTTTCGACAGATCGTTGCCTTTTACTGCAGTGACGTAGTGGATTATGTGATCTTTCGGGTCCGTGGTGCCATCATATATTTTAAAGTATGGAAGCATTTTGAAGGTTTTTGGAATAGAGTGGGGAGCTGCCCCTTCACTGTATGGTTGTTCGACGAATCGGCCTACATCACATTTTGGTAGCAACTTCGGAGCGCCCAGTATTTTATCGACCCTTTCTTGATGCTCCTTCATCTGATCGCAGAGCGTTTTGTTCTTATTTTCTATCTCTTCCATTTTATTTAAGATGACCGCAAGTGCATCGTTACCTGTATCAATGATAGCATGAGTGTTACCTGTGCGTGGAGTTTCTGGCTCATCAGCGACAATTGCGATTACTGCGTGTATTGTGCCTCCGGTATCTCTTTGAACGGGTTTGTCGAGTATGTTGCTCAAGGTGTTTGTCAACCATTCTTCTAATAGCCTTTTCACAGCCGGTGGTGCTTCTCCTGCTGCGGATGTTGAGGTTTCCCTCTCGCGCGAGACAATCATGCTTTCATGCGGGGGGAGGGGGGGTTGATGCATCTCTCTCAGGTGTAATGCTTGGTGTTACGTTTTTATTGCCTTCCCTGCCGGCTTCGTTGATGGAATCCAGAAGGTTGTTCATGACACCTACTATTGCCTTTAATCTTGCTTCCCCCTTTCCTGCCATTGTTGCTCTTTTCGAGGCTAAGAAGAGGTGATTATCCCTTTCAAGGATCTAGACGAAACTAAAATCTCAGCTATAGAAATCCCCACAGACGACGCCAAATTGTTTGACTCAAAAGATATTGTAACATTTTTGAACAAATCAATCAAAGAAAATGAAGGGGTAAATCTTAGCTAAGTATAATAATCTCTAGAACAAAAGATATGTAAGGTGAATATAGTGGATAATATTCTTTGATGAATGATCGAACGTTAAAGATGCCAATCGTTTACGTACGAAAATATTACAGTCAGTGTTCTTAGCTAGAAAGGTAAAAAAGCCCCCTTTACAAGGTTGTTTTCCCGCTATATATAAGTGACAAATCTCTTCTGAACTCTAAAAAGGTATATTATGAGAAATATCCGAAGGAATATTCCTAATGCCCCAAAAATGTAAGTCGTGTAACATTAGTACAAGGAAAAAAAAAGGTTTCAAATATATGTACATACGAAAGTCAAGGACTAATGGACACTATAAGAATTAAAGTAGTAAATAGAAAAATAAAGAGGAGAGTGGAATCAAAGAAAAAGACTTGGTTTTACGTCATTATACACTCTTTATCTCTTTCTACGCAAAAAACCATTTGCAAAATAGATCACAAAGTAAACACTAGTAGTATTATAGAGGATAGGACGCGGTTTTGCTATGCTCGGTGGCACAATTAATTTGATTTAAGCTTGTAGGATATACTTAAGTTAATAAATAGTGTATCTTTTAATTTTTGGAAATTTCTTTGATATTTAAGATATGAAGGGAGATGATCTCTAGACAAATGTAAAAAAATAAGTACATGCAATTTTCCCAATATTCAAAAAAAATAAATATAAAAGCATTAGTATAGTTGAGCTTCTAGTTTCAAGAACTCAAAAAAGAAATTTATACGCAACCAGTTTAGAAAAATGATAAATCTTTTAGATTCAACAAGAAAAATAACTTTCATATTGCAAGTCGAACATATTTGAAACAAATATTGTATGATACGCAGAATGAAGCCATAATGTTGCTATAGTATACTATATCTAATATTACTTGACACCTCAAAGAATAATAGGTTTTCATGTGCTTGTTTAAGAGCATTTAAATTGGGATAATTAATTAATTTGTCCAAACAAATCGAGTCTAATTGCCAAGTCGACGGTATCAGACATTACGTAAATCTCTTGGTTTATTATCATGAGTGACCCACTTGGACAAAAAGAGAGTTAAAACATGGTGCTCCCACTTTAAACTGAGAATGTACTTAGCCCCTGGATTTTCACCTTCTTTTTCATACTAGTCCTTCCTAGTTTCCATTTGTCTTCTCCCTCCCAAAAGTTATTTTTCCTTCTTTTTTTTTGGGGTAAAAATATCCTACTAATTACTTTGTTATTTAGCGAAATTAAACCAGAAAATATATATTTAATAAGATAGAGAAATCAAGATGACAGGTGTGGTGAGCTCAATGAGTTAATCGGACCTCTCCGGGCATTACCTGTAATTAGGGGTGTACAAAAAAAACCGACAAATTGCACCAACCCGATAATCCGAGAAAAAAAACCCGACTATGGTTTGGTTTGATTTGGTTTGGTGTTGGAAAAAAAACCTGACCATAATTGGTTTGGTTTGGTTTTAATTAAAGAAAGTCAAACCGAAACCAAACCAACCCGACATTACATATATAGAAATTTTAGATATATTTAATATATAAATATACTTATTGTGATGTAGTTTTAAA